ATGTAGACATTCCCGGTAACGACGAACATGGATTCTCGGGGAGTGTAGTGAAGACCATCATGGCTCCGTGGATGAACAAGGGACACATTTTATACACAGATAATTACTATACAAGTCCCTTGCTAGCTCGGTTCTTGCTAGAAAATAGAACCGGATTGGTTGGTACAGTAAAGCCACAACGAAGGGAAATGCCTGTGTTTGACAACGACATTGCAGTTGGTGAGTGTCAGAGAAGGAAAAGTGATAACATTCTGTCAGTTCGGTGGAAAGACAAAAGATAGGTGAACTTGTTGACAACAATTCATGATGGAACAATGGTGAACAGTGGGAAAGTGAGCCATAAAACAAACGCACCACTATATAAGCCAGACTGTGTTTTAGACTATAATATCAACATGCGGTTGATTGATAAATCAGACATGATGATTGGCACTGCAGAGTGTGTGCGGAAGACATGCAGGTGGACGAAAAAAGTGTTCTTCCATCTTGTGGACATGAGCATGCTGAACTGTTTCAACATGTACCTTGTGAGAACTGGACGTAAGCCCACTTTCTGTGACTTTGTATTTGATGCTGCAATACAGTTATTAGGAAAGTTTGCAAAAGATGTCCCAGGTATTCAGCGGCCCATCATAAACCCACTGTTGCAGCATGCTGGTACTCCACGCCTCGCTCACAATGAAGGCTTCCTAGCACACAAACTTAAGTATTTGCCACCTGGTGTGAAGCGTGCAATAGCCCAACGTGATTGCTTGGTGTGTAAAACAACGACACGTAGAGACAAGAAACGGAAGCTTGTGCAAACATGGTGTGAAACGTGTGGTATCCCATTATGTGCTGTCGACTGCTTCAATGACTACCACAGTCTAGAAATCTTCTAAGTGTGCTTCAAAGTGTGTATAGCGTGTGCGAGTGTGTAAATATGTAAACATATAAGCAGATAGCGTGTGCGTGTGTGTAAATATATACAAATATAAGCAGAACATACAATATAATAGACTGTAATGACATATTATACCTGTATTGCCGTAATTGAAAACATTTGTGTGCGCCTGTGTATACTCAAATATGCAACAATTATTGATACAAAATATGTTCAAACAGTATTTGAAACACAATTAGTGAAAAAAAATTAGATAAAATGCGCTTAGACATTGTAAATAAATAGCGTGAAAATATATTTGTGGCAACTCTGGCTGTTTGAGGACCGCGCGCAACACCTCCCGGGCGTGTACTGCATGAGCGAACATGCAGATTGTGACGTCATCACCGAGCTTTTCGGCTCTATTGCAACAAAAGTAGGTACAATAGAATTTTTTTTTTATTTTTCCCGTGATCAGTGAACAGAACTTAACAGATTAGCAAAAAAAAAAAAATTTTTTTTTTTTTCAAAATGACATGCGCCTGTGCGGATGGCAGGATATTAGACCCCGAGCATGTTAAGGGTTAACGTCTTCTAAATTATTTGACATGCACTATGAGAAAACACTTGTTGCTGCATAATACATTTTTATCAAGACGTAAATATTCGTCATACACCATCTCCTTCCTTACTGAACATTAAGTGAATATTATGATTTATACTCAGGATCCCAGCCTTGGGAGCTATTGCGCATGCGCCAACTGGGAGGAAGGACGAGACACACGCAAGAGCCGCAATAGTTTTGAGGTGTTCTGAAGTTTGCTTATTGTGATCGGTCCAAAATAATAGCATCTGGCTGCCTGCAAGCTCCTGACTGATTGTGCAGCTTCTATTATTTACGGACACCACTTTCGGCATTGAATGAGTAGCTTTACAAATTTATACTGGCCTTTAGTAACTTGTGTAAGTTGTTTTCCCTGTCGTTACGTGTGGCAACATTAAATCCCATGTAAGTGCACCTTTGATCCCCAAATCCATTTAGAATTTACAATTAAATGAATGATTCTAGGGCTTGGCATGGAAATTACACATTTGCATTTCAGTGTGGAATTAACTGTGAAAGAGACAAATTTCTACCTACGGGTTCACGTGTTTCTTGTGAGCTGCTGACTCTGACAAGAATAAATGAGTTGACGTTGTCGGACGTGATCGATGTTCATCTTAAACAGCTAAGCTGTTTACTTGTTCATTTTGTAGTTAGCCAACTGATTTAGTTCTCAGTGAACTAGAGAATTTAAATGATTTATTTTATTATTAGAAGTCATTAATCTCATATTATTGAATAACCCCCCCCCCCTCAAGTTGTAGGGTATAAGGATTTAGTCCCAAATTATTTTTAATATTACAGTTCATTCATCTAGATATGTTTAATCACATTTATGCATTAATTATAGGAGATCCGTAAGCCACTGGTTCTCTTATTTACTAATTAATAGAATACTGGTCCTTTGAAACATTTAGCATTATTCATTATAGAACTTGATTCTCCCCCACAGTCGTGGCAATGCAAGCAAGAGAGCAAAATGGCTGCCAATACATTGTCATGTGAATCCCCTGCATAGCAGTGGAACTGCCTTTTTCTCCCACCTTTCATGTCTTCATACTGGAAGTCCGCCTCCATGACAGCAAGACGAGGCATCGAACCTGCCACGCTCCACCACCCAGTACCCCCTAGGGCCTGGTACTGGTCGTCAGCAAGCGAGGTGCCTGCTAACCAGTAGTTAGCCTTCTGTAAACAAGCAGTTTGCTACCTTAAACTATTAGTTGTACAGCCTCCACACAAAGGAGCCACCAGCCGCAAACTAGCAGTTTGAGACAGCTTGTTATCAACGCAGGTAATGCAAGTTACCTGCGCTGACACTGGCAGTGACGTTATCACTGCCGGGCTATACAAGGGTACCACCTCCCTGGGGAGCCACACTCTCATAGTGCTCTTGGGTCATCACTAGCCACCCGCAACGTCGTCTGTTACCAGCCTACGTCGTGTGTCGGATGCCGTGGTGGATGTCTTCAGCACACCAGTATTTGGTTATTTAGTTTATTCATAGTATTTCTTGTGCAGTTTATTCGTGTTACAGTTTTCATATTTTGTTTACCTTAGTAATGGTGTGATTGCCAAGTGTTCTCAGGTGTCATTTTTGTTCATTAATATTACAGTAAATTGTTTAATTATTTATTAGATGGGCTTTCCTCGTTTCTACCAGCAACTTACACGCTGCAAGGGCCAAAGCAGCATTTTTTTTCTTTTTGTCTGTGACGGAGAGCAACACCACCTTGGCTCAGTATAGATGAAATACATCACTACCTCACAACATAGACAACGAAACTGCAGATCAGAGTATGACCCAGGAAAAAACATCCAGACAAAATATGGATGTGCCCAACGCGAGGGCGTGTAAATCATGGCGGCAAATATGGTAACACTAATGCAGATGGGAATGAGGGGGATAACCCCCCCTTCCTGCAGCAACCACCCTAGCCCAGAGGGCAGAAGCAGGGGCAAAGCAGGGGCAAAAGGAGACCAAGTGCTCCAAGCAGACTCCCCCCAAGCCCCGGGAACTCACGACACAGGTCTTGGGGCAGAGATCCTCTTCCATGCCCACCACCTCTGAAGACAAGGCAGAGTCCAAGGGAAAGACATTTGCGAAGGAAGGTGGCTAGGATGAACTGAAAGCTTTGGCGGGAAGAACTTAACCACCTCCGCACCCGTATCTGAACAGGCAGCCCCCAAAGCCACCCGAGCCTCATCTTAATGTAAACCCCGCCCCGACTCCAAAACCCTTAGACAGTTTAGAGCCAGAAGCAGGGTGAACCATACCCACTTGGGAAGGAAGCGGGGACGTGGATGGAACCAAGGTCGAAGCGACCAACGCCCCCAAAACCCGAGCCCTAAAACCAAAACGGGCCAGCTCCATCGTCTCCAACTGGGCAAGCAATGACACCACCACCTGAATCTTCTCATCCTCAGACGAGGAATAGTTAACCGAGACACAAGCGGGGAGAAAGTCCTGCAACACACTCCTACCTCAGGGCAAGACAGAAAGCTCCAGACCCCCGACTCATCCTAAGGGCGAAGACAATGTCAAGCAACAAAGCCCTTAACGGAGAATGAATCCCGAATGCCCAGGGAAGAGAACCCTGGCACGCAAAGGTAGTACTTATGGAGGACCCAGGGAAGGGTACCCTAAGCACATGCAGTTCCAAGTACAAGAAAACCTGGCAACCACACCACATACACAGCTGGTACAGCCACACAGGGCAAAATCCAGAACACGAACTTGAGGCAATGGGTGACTGAGCGCCTGCCAGCACATCAAGTTGAGAGAAACGAGGTGGTGAATGGCCGGCTCGCCTGTGCTGCACCCCCCCTCCCTCTACCTTTGCAGGGAGGGGGGGGGGGGGGGGGAACAGCAGGGGGGGACAGGGGGGGGGGCGGGGGTGAGGGGGCGGTGGGAGAATACGCTAACGAGCGCAAGTACTAGTTGAGGGCAAGGTTGATGGATTGTTATTTTCTTATGCTTTTCCTTTCTTTCAGAAGGACTTTCTTTGCTCTTTCTGGCTGAAGGTTGCAATTTTACCAGCTAGTTGTTTGTTTTGGTTTGCCTATTTTTCTGGGTGCCCACCCTGGTTGATGGCAGAATATGACATACAGTACTTGTAAAGTGCTCATATGCCATTGCTCCCCGAGCCTATCTGAGAGGACCAGGTTCTGGCTCTGGTTCCCGATAGGCATAGGAACTGCAGCGAATGATGACCCCAAACTAATATAACACATCAGTTCAGATAGCTTCAGGGAGCTGATGAGGCTTCCCCAGAAAAAGGCAAAAGGCAAAAGGAAAAGAGCAATGACAAGTAAGAAGAACATGTAAGAAAAAATTATTTTTTTATAGTACTGTATAAATAATTATTTTACAAATATTATTTACCAAGTGAAGAATTACACTACAGTACTGTACTATTTTTTATGTTGCAATACTATCTTATAATTTCATGTCAATTATTAGTACTTATTGAAGTGTATCATGAATGTTATTTTATACAATTCTCAAACAGTTTTTTTTAAATTATCCTTACTCACCTGAGCTGCTCTATCCAAAATATCCGTGTATTCAAAATCTTCCGTTAATCGTTGCAAGAAGGATAAAGGCTCACTAAAGTTCACCTACAAAGAATAATATAAATATTTGAGAATAATTCTTATCACTATCTTGCAGTATACATAGTACCAATTACAATACCTCTATAGTACAAAGCATTCTGAAAATTTGACAAATGATGCTTTAGACAATGGTATTTATGAAAGAAGTGTACACAGTATTTTAGTCAAGCACAGGGAAAAATTTAATATTTTACAAACAAATATATTCCTCCCCACTAGGATTAAGACTGAAAGGTGATGCATGGAGAACATTATTATTATTAATCATGTACATACAGTACTGTATATACTGTACATGAATACAGTATATTGAAATAAGATTAGAAAATACTTACTGGCATTGGAATTTTAGAAAGTTCTTTTCCTATGCAATTTTTCATAATAGACCATAGATTAATAGGATGATTTGGTTTATCTGGAACGCGGCATCGACGCTGACGCTTTGGTCGCCCATTAGCTTGCTTCATTTCTTCTGTTGGTGTGGTGGCTTGAGACCCATTCAGGCTTGCCATTTCTTCACTTAACTGTAATAAAACAAGGATACAAACCATTTCATTATTTTACAAAGACTTTGATTTTAACTTAAATCTTTCTCCCAAATAAAGTAGTGCTGCATAAATGAGATTTTGATCAGTGGCTAAAGCAAAATACTTTTCCATATTCCTACAATTATAGTACATACTCATTGTGCACACAGGCATAAACTTACCACCACCACCACCACCACCACCACCTTGATTTCCACTGTCAAACTGACGAGGTGAGCTCCAAACACAATGGAGGAGAAGAAGAAGATTTTGAAGAAGCCATAAACAGTATGCCTATGCACTCTGCACCAGGTCCGGATTCTTGGAACTCCATATTCATCAAGAACTGTAAAAAACCACTATCGCAGGCCCTCCACATTTTGTGCAGACAAAGCCTAGATACTGGCATTATCCCTGATATACTAAAAACAGCAGAGATAGCACCACTTCATACAGGAGGATATAAGGCAGAGGCAAAAAATTACAGACTGATAGCACTAACATCACACATCATAAAAAATTTTGAGAGAGTGCCAAGAAGCAAGATCACAAAATACATGGAATCACAGCATCTCCATAACCCCGGACAACATGGTTTCAGAACAGGGCGCTCTTGCCTGTTGCAGTTGCTGGACCACTGTTACGGACCCGAGCCCAGTGTCCGAGCACGGAGCAGTGACGGCCGCGCCATCTGTGGGTCAGCTCCCGAAACCCCCTCCAAATGGACGACGCCACCTAGTGAGGACGAGGTATACTGGCCACAAGGGCTAGTTTCCAGTCCTAATCAGCTCGTGACGTAGCCGCTGCTGACCTCTGGTGAGGTGACGCTTAGACAGCAACGCCATCTATGGAGTAGATGGGTGGGCGTTTGTGTCTAAGCCTGTAAGTGAGGTGCCCTAGAGTGTAACTAGCACTGATGACATGTCTGATTACAGAGTCAACCTGGGACTGCTGAATCGGACGTTGGATCTGTCTACCCAAGGCAGCCGTAGAACCTCCACGCATTTGCTGTAGAAGCTGAGAGTCACCCCCCGGATGAACACTGTTGTGTTAGCCTGCCTGTGACGTGGCAGTTGAGGATTTGTCGTACCCGGGACTGACTGGTGGAGAAGACTAACCACTGGGGTGTTGTGGTGAGGAGAGTGATCTGTGTAATCACACGAGGCTCCTGCCGGCTGGATTTGTGGTTGACGGCCTCCACAACGGGGCACCCAGTGGGACTGTGATTTGGCTGGCCTGTGGCCGGGGTAGACTCGCTGGGAGAATCTAAGGATTCGTCTAGAGGCCACAAGAAGAGAACCAGGGCTACTCGTCTTGAGCACCGTTAAGCAGAGCATCCTGTGTCTTCGGAGGAAGACAAGTGATTGTAAATACGTGTAGTTATAGTAACAGCGTGTAACTGTTTATATATTTATTGGTGGTGGTGAATATATATTTATTTCTGAGCAGTTTTATCCCTTCCCCTTTAATTTACTTGCGTTATGGAGCACACCCCTTGAAAGCTTGGGGCCGGATACCCAAACTCTACTAACATCAGAGAAAGAACCCAGTTGCGACCCAAGAGGGCCGTAACAACCACTACGATATGGCATTTAATGCTATGGAAGACAAACAAAACGCTGATGTAATTTACACAGATTTCGCAAAAGCTTTTGATAAATGTGACCATGGTGTTATTGCACATAAAATGCGTTCAAAAGGAATTACCGGAAAAATAGGCAGATGGATCTACAATTTCCTGACTAACAGAACCCAATGTGTAATAGTCGACAAAATAAAATCCAACCCATCAGCCGCGAAGAGCTCAGTCCCCCAGGGTACTGTGCTCGCTCCAGCACTTTTTCTCATCCTCATATCGGACATAGACAAGAACACAACCTATAGCACTGTACCATTCTTTGCAGATGACACTAGGATCTTCATGAGAATAGGCAACATAGAGGACACGGCAAACCTCCAATCAGATGTAGATCAGGTCTTTCTATGGGCTACAGAAAATATGGTGTTTAACGAAGATAAGTTCCAGCTCATGCGCTATGGAAAAAATGGAAATATATAAACGGAAACCACGTACAAAACTCAGGCAAATCATAACATAGAACGAAAAGGCAATGTAAAGGATCTGGGTGTACTCATGTCGGAAGACCTTATCTTTAAAGAACACAATAAAGTAGCCGTCACAACTGCAAGAAAAATGACAGGTTGGATAACAAGAACTTTTCACACTAGAGATGCTATACCGATGATGATACTTTTCAAAACGCTTGTGCTCTCTAAAGTGGAGTACTGCTGCACAATGATAGCCCCTTTCAAAGCTGGAGAAATTGCTGACCTGGAGAGCATGCAGAGATCCTTTACTTCTAGAATCCACTCAGTAAAACATCTAAACTATTGGGACCGACTAAAGAGCCTAAATCTGTACTCCCTTGAGCGCAGGCGGGAGAGATACATAATAATTTACACAAAAAAAATATTAGAGGGGCTGGTCCCAAACCTGCACACAGAAATAACATCACATGAGACCAGAAGACATGGCAGGATGTGCAGAATACCCCCGTTGAATAGCAGAGGTGCTACAGGTACTCTGAGAGAGAACTCTATCAACATCAGAGACCCGAGACTGTTCAACATGCTTCCACTACACATAAGGGGCATAACTGGCAAACCCCTCACAGTGTTCAAGAGAGAACTGGATAAGCACCTCCAAAGGATACCTGATCAACCAGGCTGTGACTCATACATCAGGCTGCGAGCAGCCGCGCCCAACAGCTTGGTTGATCAGTCCAGTAACCAGGAGGCCTGGTCGGCGACCAGGCCGCGGGGACGCTAAGCCCCGGAAGCACCTCAAGATAACCTCTAGGTAGGAGATAGGCGAGTAAGAGATAAAGATGGTTTAAGATTAAATCAAAGTTTTGAGTTCTCATAATTTATTGTAGGCAAGGAAATGTCAACTACTGCTTAAAACCGCCTCCACTCGGTGCCGCTCACAGCTACCACCTCCACTCAGCACCATCCACGACTACTGCCTCTGCTTGGTGCCATTCCAACTACAGCCTTTGCTCACAGCCATTCATGACTATCACCTCCACTCGGAGCCATTTCCAACATAGTTTGCCAACTTATGCATTGTTATCCTTTTCATGCCATATGTATTTATTATTCTCTCTCTCTTATTGTTGAGCTGTTTATTTATGATACATCAGCATTTCACATTGTGCCCACTTTCCTTTTCAAACCACACTGGTCAAGTGGCACATTATTTGTAGTGTAAAATTCTCTAAATCTGTCCATGAATGGTGTTACGACCCTGGGTTCTCCAGTGGAAACCAGAGGTCAAAATTGAGCTATTAAACTTCCTAAGTAGTACAGTTGGCGCATTTCGAATGGAAATTGTTTGTATCTTCCCTGCCAGACGTAAGACTATTATTGTTTCTCAAAGAGCATTTAAAGACTGAGCTGGGGGTTGATTATTAAATAATAACATAGGCACCAACTTTGCTTACTAATACTTTCTAATCACTCATAAAGTAACAATACGTTGCATAGGGGAAGATCTTTAATGTGCTTAGCTGCACGATCAATTAGGCTCCTTCCGGCACCACGACATGAGGGAGGCCAGGTGGTCGCCAGGAGCTCGCTCTTCTCTTGGCTGGTGGCGTGAGGTTAAGACCTACTCTGTGGCTGTATCCCTACTCTCCTTCCTTCTCCTCTTACTTATTTCCCTTACCTGAAGTTCCTGTACCCTTAAGTTAAGTATTATATGGTGTAAGTGTGCCTACTCTGGTAGTAACGATTGGGGAGACCTGGGGATAGTATTTTGCCAGTGTTTGGGTACCCCTAAGTGTTGTGTTTTGTATTAGGGTCCCACGTGGTTTCACTACCCTAAGCTGCATCCAGCTTCAGTGCTTATCCAGTAGTACTTTACCCTAGCTTGTTATTAGTGTAAACCTTGTATCCTGCCTACGTGGACCAAGGCTTTTAACGTAAGATAGTGTGGTAAAGTTATTATTATTATTGTTATTGGTGTGAGTGTAAATGGGGGGTTGTTAACGGGTTAATAAATAAGTACATGAATTACAGAGTATCTCTTCTTCCAAGGTGGGAGCGCAGTGATCAACCCTTAGACGAACATATTTGGTCTTGTAGCAAGTTATTACTACTGTGGATAGTTTATTTTGGGGGCCGGGCCTTTTAGCTCTCCCATATATGATACTCCTGTCTTCTAACTACCTATACCCCTTAATAGTACCAGTACCCCATAGAAGCCCCACTAATATCAGTTTGTAACAAGTGGTTGGCCAGTCCGGGAGGAACATTATAAGTGTAAAAAATTAGATTCTTGAGTGCCAAAATTAAAATTTTTTATTTCCGCAGAACGGTTGTGTGCTAGCCTAGGGTCCAGCTCATCTAGCAAAGGACATTCTTGCACTGACTGGACACCCAGCTGGATCCCTTCACGATTAAGGTTAGTGTGGCCTTGTGTTAGGGGCCGTGCAAATTTTTGTTTTTTTTTCCAATTTTTATTTTTTAATTTTTTCTTTGGCTGGGAGCTAAAATTATTAGTGATGTCTTCTGAAATGCAGAACCTGGCAAGGGAGCCTTCAGTGGTAGAGATAAAGAAACTTAAAAAGTCTAATTTAGTATTGTTAGGCCAGGAATTTGGCCTAGAATTAAATGTTGCAGATAAAAAGTGGACTTTGGTGAATGAAATATTACAACATTGTATTGATGAACAACTATTGGCAAGTGATACACCTTTATGCCAGCCTAGCCAAGCAGAAAGTGCAACTCATAGGGAAAGTGAATTAGCTTTAGAGTTAGCAAAAATAAAATTAGAGGAGCAAAAACTCAAAACCGAGGAGGCTAGAATTAGAGCGAATGCCACTGGACCTCCACCTGCCGGGGATTCAAACCCCAGGCATTATGAGAAAAAGCATAATTTGCCTGAATTTTCCGAGTCTGACCCTGAAAGGTTTTTCAACCATTTTCAGAGAGTG